CCCCAAAACCCCAAAACCCCAAAACCCCAAAACCCCAATCTTCTTCACTACTTAATAAAACCTAATAATTCAAATAAAATATGTCTAGTAAATCTCTGTCAATCCGCCTTTCCACCTCTCAAGACCGGACTCTAAAATCTCTGACAATCTACGGCATCTTCAGCTATAAAGCCAAATCCTTCACCACCACTCATATATCAACTAGCCTGACTCCGCAGCTCTTCATGAGAGTAGGAGACCAAGTACAGACTTTTTGAGACATCAGGGTAGGATTACAGGCACAAGAGCTTGCTAATAGGAAAAATAACGATTCTGAAGAGGAAAAATACATCAAGAGCCAAGTTAGTTTCTTATTCTGCCTCATCCATGAAGCAAATGGGCCCAATGTGTATGCCTATAACCAATTGGTAGATATTTTTGGGTATCTTAGCGACCACATCAAGTTGAATGATATCGACCCTCAGATTTACAGCTTATTTGGGAAATGAGAGACAATTAAAGAGGCTAGAGAAATCTTAGACCGATTTCATGTTGAGAGTTCATCCAAAGATCTTTGGAAAACAAAGAATGCGATTGCTACTAAGCTCAAGAAACTCCAAGCTAAAACTCTTGGCTGAGAAATTAAAGAAGGTGATATTGTAAGAATAGGAAGACTTAAAATGAAACTGATCAAATTGGAATCTTCTGTTTCAGATATTCGAGATATTTCGATTCAAAATATAAATGAAGATTCAAAAACTTATAGTAGAGGATCTTTTATTGAACCTGGGAGTCCAAAGAAAGTGACAGACAAGGATAAGCCTATATGAAGATTTTGATTATCTTGTGATAATCCAGATAAAGATCCTCTATTCAATGCTTGAAAGTGCAAAGGAACACAAGGTCTGATTCACCTTCAATGTCTTCGCTCTTGGATGAATTCATTCAAAAAGCATAAAGTCCTGAGTAATCTGTCTGAAGAGTATCATTGGAAAACCACTACTTGTGAGATATGTAAAGCTTCATATACTCTCCAAATTGAGCATGAAGGAACTTTGGTAGATCTCCTAGAATATAAATAAACCTGAAGAAGCCTATTGAGTTTTTGAGACACTTCATCCCAAAGAGAGTGACCGTTTTTTGTCAAAATCCTTGTTTGTGCACCAATTTAAAAACCCTGAAATAAAAAGGTATTTATTAATAATCTTAAAAATTAAGGCATAGAATATATTCTGTAAAATTAGCTTCGAGTAAAATCTAGCATTTTTATTTGCTTGTTTTCATTGGTCCTAATAATATTTCCTTTATTGCATTGATAACAAAATAACCCATTTATGAGTCTGCCAAAGTATCGGAACCTTGGAAATGAGGGATTTCCATTTTAAATTAATTAGTAGTAAAAAAAATGGAGCCATTCTTATCTTTAGCCTTATTGTTTAACTAAATGTTATGTAAATAAACTTTAAAATAGAAAATACAAAACCTTCTTTAAGAACCAACAATGTAAATCTCTTTTATTAATCTATAGCTACCTTTACATTCGGTAGAGCTGATGAAGCAGAATTCAGGTTTAATGATCAATCAGTTTCTCGGATTCATGGTGAAATAACTCTCACAAATGAAAGTAGATTATTTATCAAAGATTATGACTCACGATTTGGGACCCAAGTACTCATGAATTTGCCTCAAACAGTTGACCAAAATAACTCTCTCAATAATGTGTTCCAAATTGGTCGGACATGGATGCATCTTTCTCTAATCGAATCTCATCCAAAAGCTGAATGATGCTGATTCTTTAGAAAGGCAAATAAAGTAGTAGCCAAAGAAATTGTAGATGACGATAATAAAGAAAATACGGAATTTAGAATTGCTTCGTTAAAAGCTTATAAATCAATACCTACTCTCTTGGACAAAAAAGTGGCTGATACTTCCAAAGAGAGAAAGGTTCCAATATCTCAGACTATAACAGATTCTTACCCAAATAAGATATTAGGTATTTTCATTTTTGCAAGACTAGTTTAGAATATTTCTGAGGTATTTCCAAATATTGTTCTTGACAATGTAAAAACTTAATAATGTATCATTTAATTACAAAGTTTTACTTTTATGATAAGTATAAAAACTAATTCAAAATAATTCTTCTTATGAGAATATCTATCTGTTTTATAATCAGGTTAGAACAAGAACAAGCAAGAATGCTCAAACATGATCCTTTAAAATCAAATTTATTATTAAATTTCTGCAACTTCCATTAAGCTAATTTTCAAATAATGCTTATTCTATAAACTTAGAATACAATTATGAGATGTAGATATTCTTGTTATTCTCCCTATTACTCTTTGACATAGTTTCCAGTTCTGTCAGAGAGAACTCATCAAGACCCTTTCTACCCCCTATGGGGTCCCATCAATCCCCAAACGAAAATGATCAACAAATGTACTATCCGTATGACACTTCTAGGAAAGTGGAGGCAACTTCTAAAGAACTGGACTATGCCAATAGTTTCGATGAGATTTCGGCCTACAACATTAATAATTTTTCCTAACCATTTTGAATACGATTGTGTTTCGGAGGATGTTTTAAGGTGAAGCAGAGACAGGTAATCCTAACTGCATGTGAAAATTGTAAATCTAACTAATGAGTGGCAGCTCTCCAGAATGCCCAATTTTAGATTCCCTTCTTTAAAGTTAAGATTACTCTTGAATTTGATATTAGAGTTAGTAAGTATTCATTATGATATTTTAAATAATTCTTTGGAATCAATAATCAGAAGAGTTTCAATACGAATGAACACCCCAGGGGTTTTGGGGTTTTGGGGTTTTGGGGTTTTGGGGG